AAAACGACAGCAACTTGTCTGTTCCCCTTCCCCCAATTCCCCAGCACTGTTCCCATCCCAATTCCCCAATAAAAATCTTTAAAAAAGGAGTGTCTGGACACTGATGGTAACCGCTTTGAGCACCTCTTGTAATTGCAGAAGTCAAACGTGACTTGTATTCATCTTTTGTTATAGGTATATATTCAGTACTACAATTTTAATAGTTTTCTTATAATGTGTATACATTTTTGGCACCATCTGTATATCTTTCTCCTCATATTAGGTGCTTAAATACTGTGATTAAACAATGAGCCATTATTATCTTTAGCAGTGCCACATTGGATCTTTACGTATTGAATGGCTAAAGGAGATTATGAAATTTTAACCAGGTAAAGGCTTCAAATTATAACTGTACTAGAGAAAAATACAATGAATTTGCATGTTTTAGAGTGACAAAGTAAATTAAAAGGAATACTTAAATATTCAGTTTACTTACTATAGGTTTTTCAATGCTGAAATCGCATGACTTTCCATGTTCTATTCTGCATTCTATAAGGAAAAACAAAAGCACCCCAAACAAATTACACTGGCAGAAAGAGAAATAAGTTAGATGTTTATTATACAATTACAAATACGTCATCACTAAGAAATCTACTAAACACCTAGTAGCAATTTACATTAGAAGTTTTAAAAGAGAGTGGTCTAAAGTGTACACTATTAAACAAACTCAAACAAAAAATGAAAAAAGTTCCCAATTTAAGTAAAATCATGTGAATGTGTTAGGACTGTAATTTCCAATGTTTCAGTAACAGGCAACTAGAAAAAATTATGTGGTGTGCACATAAGATACTTGACACATTTTGAATGAAGATGGACATTTGTGCATGATTTAAAAAGGCATCCTAGGGGCCAGTTGAGTGGCTCAGTTGGTTAAAAATTGGCTTAGGAGCACAAGCTCTGAGCAACAGGGCCGCTAGTTCAATTCCCACATGGGCCAGTGACACTGCGCCTGAGCTGAGCTGTCACTGAGCTGCCAACAGGTGGCTAGATGGCGCAGCTGGTGTAACAACACGATTGCCTATTCCATGGTGGGCTACACCCACCCGCAACTAAGACTGAACTCGGCACCTTGAGCTTAGCTGCCACCCGTATGGCTCAGTGGATGGAGTGTGCATTCTTAACAAAGTTGCTGGTTCGACTCCAGCATGGGATGGTGGCTATGCTCACCCGCAACTAAGATTGAACACGGCACCTTGAGCTTAGAGGCCATGAGCTGCTGAAGGGCAGCCAGATGGCGACTGGCGCCCTCCACAACTAGGATTGAAGAACAGCTTGGCTGGTCTCCTGCCCCAATTCCCCAATAAAATCTTTAAACAAAATAAAAATAAAATAAAATAAAAAGGCAGCCTAATTGTGGTCTCATTAAGAATTTAGAGGGCTGGCCGAGTGGCTCAGTTGGTTAAGAGCTCGCTCAAGAGTGCGAGCTCTGAGCATCAGGGTCCCCGGTTTGATTCACGGCCCAAGCTGAGCTGCCAACAGGTGGCAGGATGGCTCAGCTAAAAAAAAAAAAGAATTTAGAGATAGGGGTACAATGAAGATGAGGAAATGGAAACAGAAAATGGCACCTAAATATTTAAAATACTCTGAGATTCCTAAACATTAGGATGCTTATTAATTGGGAACAAAACCAAACTCCTGACCGTACCTTTTTCTGCTTCATTTGATGATGGGCTCTTGCTTCGTTTTCCACCTGGTTTCTGCTCGATATTTCTGTTTCCCATAGCACTCTGTTCCTTTCCATGACTAATCTCAACATGAGCACTGGCAGTGTTAGAAGTGCTGGCAGCATTGGAAGTGCTGGGAGCACTTTCAGAGATTGGAGTGTTGGGAGCATTATCAGCAATAGAAGGCTTTGGAGTACTGTCAATAGGTGATGGTATGGGTTTACTGTCAGCGGTGGACATCTTGGGGGTATAATTCATGCTGGAAGGGCTCAGGACACTATCAGTGGTGGAAGGGTGCAGAGCAGTGTCTGTGGTGGAAGCACTAGGAATATGGTCAGTGGAAACATTGCTGGGAGCATTATCAACAATGGATGTGTTTACAGGGTTGTCAACAGTGTAATTACTGGGAGTATTGTCAGCAGTGTAAATGTTCAGATCATTGTTCACAGCACAGGTGCTTGAAGTCTTGTCAACAGTGTTGGTTTGCAGAGCATTGTCCACAGTGTGGGTGCTTGAAGTATCGTCAACAGTGTAGGTGAATTGAGCATTGTCCACAGTGTAAGTACTTGGAGCATCGGGAACACTGGAAATATCATTAGTTTTGTTCATCAGCAAAGAGATGTTATTAACCATATAGTTATTCCTGTGTCTACCGGCTCGGAAATCTCTCTTTTTTTTCTTCGTATGTTCTTTCATTTTAGTAGCCCTTTCCCTTTCATCATGTTGGTTGTAATTTGTTCTTCCACAGGAATAGGTTTCTAAAAGAGACAATGGAATACTGTTTAATAATTATAATAATCATGTACCTTAAGGTGTTTTTAATCTGTTTCAAAGCAACAAAAAAGTACTGAAAAGCCATGTTTTATTTTTTAAAATTCCCACTTTGTTTTAATACCTATATTAAATATGTATTTTTTTTAATGTATTGATATGTACAGAAAGAAAAACATGAGCAAATACAGATAGTGTTTTCCTAGAGAGTATCTATCTACACTTCCAAATTTTAAGGTCCTAAGATGATTGCAATGTTGACCCTTCAAGTGTCGTTTATATTTCCACTGTTTGGCATTAATAATCAAAACATTCTTTTATGATTTCCCAGTATGATTTTATAGATCCAGTTAGTAAAAATAAACAGCATAAATCACATACTGTACCAAAGTACAAAATATTTATAGAAAATTCTGCTTATGAGCATTTTGCCAAAGACACAAACGGTACCTATTGTCATCAATTCTAATATACATGCATGAATGTAATTATTCATGGGAAATTTTCTTCTTTTTTCTACTATCTCCTATGTTTTTCATTTTAATTAACTGCCCAAAACTGTTAATTTTAATGAACTGAAAATATTTCCTGTTTAAGAAAATTATATATTACCATGCTGCTCGGGGTATATAAATGTTGTTGCTGATGGTGGTGGTGGCGGCGGCGGCGGCGGTGGTGGCGGTGGCGGTGGCAACGGTGGTAGGGGTGGTGGCAGCAGTAGTGGGGGTGGTGGCAGCAGCTGCTCTAGCATAGGCTCTTGGATGTAAGGTGGTGGAAATTCCCCTTGAGCTGGGGGATAGATCAGTTGAGCAGCTGGTGGATACCCAGGAGAGGCTGGTGCGATGAAGTGTGATATTTGTGGTACAGGAACAGGCATGATCATCTGACAGTCAACTGTCTGAGGCACAATAATAATTTTGCGAATCCCATTTTCTTCCACTACCTAAAATGAAAGTAAAAATCATATAAACATATTAGAATCTGTAAAACTAGCATTTTTCCTATCAAGTTTTAGATTTATATCCTGTGCTCTTAATTTAGAAAGCCCAAAGGATCAAAAATCAATAATCAAGTGAAACTATTTCAAGCAGGAGTCAAGATAACTTCTTTTTTCCCACAAGTAGAGGTTTTAAAAAGGTAATTTTTTACCATATACAATATATTAACACATTTCAAAACCATAAAGTATAAAAAAGTATACATGAAAATTTTTCCATCCAACCCGTATCTGCTCAATGCTCCCCAGTAGATAACTACTGTTCTTAGTTTCTTATCAGTCCTTCCAGAATTTCTTTATGCCTATACAAACAAATAGTAATAAAGATTCTACTTTTTTCCTTCTTTTTATTACATAAAGGTAGCATTATTTATACTATTCTATACCTTGGTTTTCACACTGAGCAATATGTCTTGAAGATCTTTCTGTATCAGTACATAGAGCCACCCCATTTTTTTTGCACAGCTCCATAGTGTTTTATTAAATGGATTTACTACACAATCCCCCTTTGACAAGCATGTAGATTGTTTCCAGGCTTCTGTGGTTACAAACAATATTGTAGTGAATAATCTTGTACATTTATTATTCCAGATTTGTGAAAATACATCTTTAGGATAAATTCCTCAGAGTAGAAATAATGGGTGAAAGGTTATATGTATGTATGTTTTTGTTAGATATTGCCCAAATAGATCATTCATTTAGAACCAAACCATATTATGTTGACTTCTTTAGTGTGTTCTTGATCTTCACAGCTGTGCAATAGAAAAAGACATATCTCGAGTATAAAACTTCTGAAGCTATGGAATATCTTATTAATCTCTATAGGAGTCATACCTCCCTGTCCATTTTAGGTGCTTGATAAATATTTGAAGAATTTTTAAAAAGTGCCATTTGTAGTCTGACCACTGATTGCAGCATTATTCATGGTGTTCAAGACATGGAAACAACCAAAGTGTCCTTCAATACATAATTGGATAAAGGTGTGGTACATATACGCAATGGATTTTTACTCAGCCATAGGAAAAGATGAAACATTGCCATTTGCTTGGTATAGTCCCATTCATTTATTTTAGCTTTTGCTTCCTTTGCCTTTAAGGTCAAATTCATAAAATCCTCTTTGAACCCAAGGTCCATAAGTTTAGTACCTATACTTTCTTCTATGTAGTTTATTGTTTCAGATCTTATATTTAAGTTTTTTTATTCACTTTGAGTTAATTTTGGTACATGGTGACAGATAGCAGTCTAGTTTCATTCTTTTACACGCAGCTTTCTAATTTTCCCAGCACCATTTATTCAAGAGGCTTTTTTTTATCCATTGTATGTTTTCGGCCCTCTGTCAGAAATTATCTGTCCATATTTATGTGGGTTTATTTATGGGTTTTCAACTCTATTCCATTGGTCTATGTGTCTGTTTTTCTGCCAATACCATGCTGTTTTGATTATTGTTGCTCTGTAGTACAAGCTGAAGTCAGGGAGTGTGATACATCCAGCATTATTCTTTTCTCTTAGCATTGCTTTGGCTATTTGAGATCCTATGTGATTCTATACAAATCTGATGATTTTCTGTTCTAATTCTTTTTTATTTATTTACTTCAAAGTTTTTTTGGGTGACAATGGTTAGTAAAATTACATAAGTTTCAAGTGTACAATTCTGTAATACATCATCTTTACATTACACTGTGTGTTCACCACCCAGAGTCACTTCTCTTTCCATCACCATAAATTTGACCCCATTTAGCTTCTTCTACCATCTCCCTCCCCCCTTACCCTCTGGAACCACTAAACTATTCTCTGTGTCTATGAGTTTTTGTTTCATTAATTTGTGTTTTTTTCCTCCTTTTTTGCTTTCAGTTTTATAATTTGCATCAGTAAAATCACATGGTTCTTGACTTTTTGACTTATTTTGTTTAGCATAATAATCTCAAGATCTGGCCATGTTGTTGCAAATGGCAGTATTTCTTCTTTTCTTATGGCTGAGTAGTATTCCATTTTGTTGTGTATATATACCACATCTTCTTTATCCAATCATCTATCGAAGGACACTTCGATTGTTTCCATGTCTTGGCCACTGTAAATAAAGCTGCAATGAACATCAGAGCACACATATCTGTATGGATAAATGTTTTCTGATTTGTTGGGTATATGCCCAAGAGAGGGATTGCTGGGTCATATGGTTATTCTATTCCTAATTTTCTGAGGAATCTCCTTTCTCCATTGTACGTTTTTGGCTTTTTTGTCGAAAATAATCTGTCCATATTTATGTGGGTTTATCTCTGGGTTTTCAATTCTATTCCATTGGTCTTTGTGTCTGTTTTTCTGCCAGGACCATGCTGTTTTGATTATTGTTGCTCTGTGGTACAAGCTGAAGTCAGGGAGTGTGATACCTCCAGCATTATTCTTTTTTCTTAGGATTGCTTTGGCTATTTGGGGTCTCTTGTTCCATACAAATCTGATAATTTTTTTTCTATTTCTTTAAAAAATGCCATTGGGATTTTGATGGGGATTGTTTTTGCACAGCAAAAGAAATCATCAACAAAATCAAGAGGCAACCAACCAATTGGGAGAAAATATTTGCAAACAATGCCTCCAATAAGGGGCTAATCCAAAATATATAGGGAATTCATGCAACTCAGCAACAAAAAGACAAACAATCCAAGTACAAATGGGCAGAGGACATGAACATAAACTCTCCCAACAAGACATACAAATAGCCAACAGATGTATAAAGAAATCCTCAACTTCACTAGCTATCAGGGAAATGCAAATCAAAACTACAATGATATCACCCCACACCTGTTAGAATGGCTATCATCAATAAGACAAATAATAACAAGTGTTGGAGAGGCTGTGGAGAAAAAGGAGCCCTCATACACTGCTGATAGGAATGTAAGTTTGTATAGCTGCTGTGGATGGCAGAGTGGAGGGTTCCTCAAAAAAGAAAGTGCAGAATTACCATATGACCCAGCAATGCCTCTCCTGAGTATCTACTTGATAATTCGAAAACATTTATCCATAAAGACATATGTTCTCTGATGTTCACTGCAGCATTATTCATGGTGGCCAAGAGATGGAAACAACCAAAGTGTTTTTTATTGGATAAAGAAGATGTGGTATAAAGGCACCATGGAAAACTACTGTCATAAGATTAAATAGTGTCATTTGTGACAACATGGATGGAACTTGAGATTATTATGTTAAGCAAAGTAAGTCAGAAAAAGTTAAGAATCATGACTTCACTCATTTGTGGGATATAAAACTGAAAGCAACAAAGGAACAAGAAAAACAAATAAAGAAACAAAAACTCGGACTGGCCGAGTGGCTCATTGGTTAAGAGTTAGCTTGGGAGTGCGAGCTCTGAGCAGCAGGGCCGCCAGTTCGGATCCCACATGGGCCAGTGACGCTGCACCCTCTACACTTAAGATGGGGAGCAACAGCTTGACCTGGAGCTGGGCTGCTGTGAGTTGCCAGCGACAGCATAGGCTGCAGTGGGTTGCCATGAGCTACTGTGAGTGGCGGGCAGCCAGCGTGAGCTACTGTGAGCTGCCATGCAATGGCCGGTGACCCATCTGCCTCAGCCAGGATGACCACAATGATCACAATACCAACATGGTCCAGTGAAGCGATGTCCTCCACAACTAGACTGAAGAACAAAAGGACAGAAACTTGTCTGTTCCCCCTCCCCGATTCCCCAATGCTGTTCTCTCCCCCAATTCCCCAATAAAATCTTAAGAAAGAAAGAAAGAAAGAAAGAAAGAAAGAAACAAAAACTCAGACACAGACAACAGTTTTGTGGTTACCAGAGGGTAAGGGGGAAGTGGGGAGGAGGATGGTATTAGAGGGTAAAGGGTGTCAAATATATGGTAATGGAAGGAGAATTGACTCTGGGTGGTGAGCACACAATGTGATATATAGATGATGTATTATATTACAGAATTTTACACTTCAAATCTATGTACTTTTACTAACCATTGTCACCCCAATAAATTTAATTTNGTAAAGGGAGTCAAATATATGGTGACTGAAGGAGAGCTGACTCTGTGTGGTGAACACAAAATGCAATATATAGATGATGTATCATAGAATTGTCCACTTGAAACCTATGTAATTTTACTAACCATTGTCACCTCAATAAATTAAAAAACAAATACTGCCATTTGTTACAACATTGATGGATCTTCAGAGCATCATGCTAAGCACAATAAGTCAGACGGAATAAGTCAAGTATCATATGATTTCAATAGTATGTGGGACATAAATCTGAATGCAACAAAGGAAGAAGACAAAGAAGCAAAGTAAAACACATACACAGACAACAGTTTCATGGTTACCAGAGGGTAAGTGGGGAGGGGGGTGGTAGAAGAGGGAAATGGGTTCAAATATATGGTGATGGAAGGAGAACTGATTCTAAGTCATGAACACAGAATGCAATATATAGATGATGTATTATAGAATTGTACACTTGAAACCTATATAGTTTTACTAACCAATGTCATCCCAATAAATTTAATAAATACTACTGAACTGAAAATACTAAGTAATTTTAGAGACTAAATCCCACACACTATCAGAAGCCATTACTGTAGCAATTGTACTAGATGAATAAGATTGGTTTAAGTACTCAGAAAAAAAAACAATGGAGGACTAATGAATATGACGAGATATGAATTTATAAGATGAATAAGGCAATATAAGCAAGGTTTGGTTAACCAACACTGAAATTGCTTTTTAGCAATGAAGATAACAATAAAGTGAATAAATAAATAGTATTCTGGAAGTTCTCTTATCGTATAGTAACGTAACGAAAATTGTTAAATGATATCTTACTACTAAACACTAAATAAAACCACACTAGTATACCTGAAACGTGTAACCCGGAGGAAGATATATTAATGGCAAAGTACCACTTGGTGACATCAGAGGTACATCTGCGGGTCCTAAAAGAGAGTTATTATTAATAAATTATTTAACAACTTTAAACAAAGTCCATTTAACTTTGCTCTGTGAAAACCAGCTCCAAGCTGTAACAATAACCAGCATTTTGAAAGTGTATGTTGTTTACTTGCAAAGGAGACTAAGTAAGAATGTAGGTGAATCAGTGCAAATTCATCACAACTGATGAAAAATAACCAACATGCATAATGAGGATTGGGTAAAATTTATATTATTAAATGTTAGCAAATTTTACTGCTAATAAAAATAAACTATCAACTTTCCAGTATAACTGTACTGTACTTACCCATTCTTTCTCACCTAAAATAGTTTTAAATTGAGTAATAGAAGTTTTACCCTGTATCATAAAATATATTTCTTAATAAAACTTAAATCAGTTTTCATTTTAAGGCTTTTTTCCAACAATACATAGTAAAGTGAAATAGTTTTTAAAAAACAGGCATATTATAGAGAGGGACTTAATGTTATTCATGTGAAATTCTAATTTTATACTAGGTATTCTTATACCTTAAACATATAACTGCATAGAAAGTAAAATACAAGACAGAATGGAGACTTGTATATGTCATCAATCTTTTGTTTATCTGAAATTATTATAATTAGTGTTTAGTTTTAAAAATGTATGTGTCTTTCGTGTCCTAGAATGGTAATTTACTTTTAATAATGGGGAAAATAAACATGAGTTAAGGATAAACTTTGTACAGCAGCCATATGGAATCCATTGCTAAATGATAATGTTTAAAGAAATTTTAAGATATAGTTCAAAGTTACTTTAGGATACAAAATAACTGGCATAAAAACAGAAACAATCATATCACTTGGAAATAATTATTACATCTTATATGAAGTAAATATATATTAATTTTATATTACTACTGAAGCAATTCTATATGCTATACATTTACTATATATGTATATATATATATATATATACGTATACAGAGAAAATTATTTGTATATAAATAATTTCCCCCCTCCCATACATTGTTATATCTTAAATGTCTAGTATAGTGCTGGAACATGCTAGGAACTAAAGAAATACTTGTTGAATATATGGATGGATATAAAGAAGCCACACCAAGACTGGTAGGAGGGGCAGAGATGTGAAATGGGCTGGTCCCACACCGACTTGTGGCAGTTAAAAATCAGAAGGGATATCTCAGCTGTAGAGGTCCCCTCTCAGGACTAAGGGGTCCCAGCCTCACCCTGGGTTCCCCAGCCCAGAGCACCAGTGCCAGGAAGAGGAATCCCCACAGCATCTGACTATGAAAATCAGCAGGAATTCTGTCCAAGTGAGATGGAAGGCTGCTGGAGACACAGGCCTTCCTCCAAAAGGGCCTGTGCACAGACTTACTTGGATGGACTCCAGTGTAAGTCTCCCCTCCTGCGCTGAAGCAGCAGTTCATAAAGCCCCAGGGACATATGGGGAGGAATTGAATTATCTGGCTTCAGGGGCAGCTCTGGCTGGGACATAAGTGCTGGCATTTATCATTTTTCCTTTCCTGAGCCCTCTTCCCATTCATCACACTGGCTAACACCATTCACCCCACCCTGGTGATTCCCTGAGAGCCACGCTACCCAACTCATGCAGAGGCCTGAACCTCTTTCAGCAGCTATTCCTCACAAGCATCCAGCCTTGGCCTGAGGCAGACTTCCCTAAAATCTCTGAAAGGTCCACAAACCCCAAACAAGCAGCACCTGGCCTTGGTGTGACTGGTACCTCTTGCTAAGTGGCCCCCATCATGATACGAGGGGCAGCCAGCCTCAGTTCACAGCATAGCCTCTCACAGGCTTCTCCAAGTCCAGCAAAGACAGCTACCAACTACAGATCACTTTGTAGTTCTTACCAAGTTGCCTCAGGCTGGAAACAGGCAACCTGGGCCTGCACCAGAGCCCCTCCCAAGATGCCTCAGAATGGATTCACCTGGTGGCCATACCAGAGCACCACCCAATTAGTTCCACAAACAAAACACCCAAATGGACTCAGGAGGCACCAGAGCCCCCCCCCCTTATAATGAATCTCACACTGTGGAGTCAGACCCCACATAACAGCTCATCCACTGTAGTCATGGACAATCCGCACATTCAGTCAACCGCAGGGTTAATCCTGCTCACTGACCTGCTAAGAGTAATCAAGGCTCAACTACAACAGGGGAGCACACACATTCCACACAAGGGAACCCCCTGGAGCACCCACCTTAGGAGACCAGGAAGACTGCACCACTGGGCCCCACTGGACACTTATTACATAAGGCCACCCCCTGACAAGACTGGGAGATGTATCAGATCTACCTAACAAACACAGGAAGGCAGTCAAAATGAGGAGAAAAAGAAATGTCCCAAATGAAAGAACAGGATTGAAAACTCCAGAAAATGAACTAAACAAAATGAAGATAAGCAATCTACCGGACAGAGTTTGAAACGCTGGTTATAAAGATGCTCAATGATCTCTGGGAGAACTACAACAAAGGGATAGGAAACATAAAAATGGAGATTAAAAAAAACATAAAAAGAATCAGTCAGTAATAAAGAATACAGTAACTGAAATGAAGTATACATCAGAGGGAATCAACAGTAGATTAGATGAAGCAGAGGATCAAATCAGTGATTTAGAAGATAAGGTATAAGAAAACAGCCAGAGATCAGCAAAAATGAAAAAGAATCCAAAAAAAATAAGGACAGTTTAGGGGGCTCCTGGAACAGCATCAAGTGTACCAGCATTCACATCATAGGGTACCAGAAAGAAAAGAGAAACAGTAAGGAATTGAAAACCTATTTGAAACAATAATGATGGAAAACTTCCCTAATCTGGCAAAGGAAAAAGACATACAAGTCCAGGAAGTGCAGAGTCCCAAACAAGATAAAACCAAAGAGGCCCACACCAAGACACATCATAATTAAAATACCAAATGTTAAAGATAAAGAGAGAATCTTAAAAGCAGCAAAAGAAAAGCAGTTAGTTACTTACAAAGGAGCTCTCATAAGATTGTCAGCTGATTTCTCAACAGGAACTTTGCAGGCCAAAAGGGATTAGCATGAAATATTCAAATGTTGAAAAGCAAGGACCTTCAAACAAGCTACTCTACCCAGCAAAGCCATCATTTAGAATCAAAGGAAATCATTTAGAATCAGACAGGAAAAGCTAAAGGAGTCATCGCCACCAAACCAGTATTATAAGTAATGTTAAAACAACTCTTTAAGAAAACAAAACATAAAAAATATGAATAAAATGGCAATATCAACATACCTATCAACAATTAGTTTAAATGTAAATGGATTAAATGCCCTAATCAAAAGACCAGGGTGAATGAATGGGTAAAAAAACAAGACCCATACTTATGCTGCCTACAAGAGACCCATTTCAGATCTAAAGTCACACATGGACAGAAAATGAAGGGTTGGAAAAAGATATTTCATGAAAATCAAAACTAAAAAGTGCTCTTATACCAGATAAAATATAGATATAGACTTTAAAACACTGTCTATAACAAGAGATAAAGAAGGACCCAGTAATTCAACTTTGGTATTTATCCCAAGTAATCCAAAACACTAATTTGAAAAGACATGCATCTACATGTTCACTGCAGCATAATTTACAATAGCCAAGATATGGAAGCAAACTAAGTGTCCATCAATAGACGAATAGATAAAAAATAAGAGGTACATATATACAATGGAATATTACTCAGCCATAAAAAAGAATGAAAATTTGTCATCTGTAACAACATGGATAGACCTACAGGGTATTATGCTAAGTGAAATAAGTCAGACAAAGAAAGACAAATACCAGATGATTTCACTTATATGTGGAATTAAAAAAGAAAAGAAAAGAAATGAACTGGCAAAACAGAAACAAGCTCAAAGACAGAGAGAACATTTTTTATGGTTGTCAGGTGGGAGGGGGTTTGGGAGGATGGGTAAAAATGGTGAAAGCAATAGGAAGTACAAATTAGCGGTTATAAAAAGTCATGGGGACCTGGGGCTGGGCTGCCATGGGTTGCTGGCGATGGTGTAGGCTGCAGCCCCTGCTGCAGTACAGCATAAGAAATATAGTCAACAATATTGTAATAACTATGTATGGTGTCAGATGGGTACTAGATTTACTGGGGTGATCACTTTGGAAGTTACATAAATGTCTAACCACTATGTTAACACCTGAAACTAATATAATATTGTATGTTAACTTTAATTGAGAAATAAAAAGTTATTAAAAAGTGTAAACAAAAACCAAAAAGCAAAAACCAAAGTAAACAAATAAAACAGAAACAAACATAGATACAAAGAACTGATCATTTCCAGATGGAAGGGGGTTGGGGAACTGGGTGAAAAAGGTGAAGGGATTAAGAAATACAAATTGGGGGCTTCCGTCGGACCCCGAGCCGTCTGCGAGCTTCTGATTGTCGCTCAGGGTTCTTTCAGATCAGTGCAAGGGTCTTCGTCGCTGCCTGTGGAACTGGAATTGGGCGAGGAGGAACAGGCACGGAAAGGAGAAAGGTCTGCGTGTCTGTTCTCAGCACTCGGCTAGCCTAGAAAAGGAGGACGAAGCTATCCAGAAATCCTGCAGGATAGGAAAAGGAGGGGCCATCTCAACATGGAAAAACTCTGCAATGAAAATGAAGCAGTGCCTGAGAAGCAAGTAAAGATGGAAAACCAAGAACATACACAGGATGCCAGAAAGCCAGAAATAGCTCATACTCTGGAAGACAAGGAGCAGTTAGAAAATGAGAAAAAGATAGAAAACAAGGGAAAGATAGAAGATAAGGAAAAGCCAGAGGAGGGAAAGCCAAAAGAAGAGGGAAAGGTAGAGAGCGAGGGAAAGCCAGCAAGCCAGGGTGAACCGAAAGAAGGAAAACCAGTGAGCGAGGGAAAGCCAAAAGAAGAAGGAAAACCAGCCAGCGAACCAAGGGCTGCAGGAAAGCGCCCAGCAGGGGATGATGTACCCAGGAAAGCCAAAAGGAAAACCAACAAGGGGCTGGCTCAGTACCTCAAGGAATACAAGGAGGCCATACATGATATGCAATTGAGCAATGAGGAGATGATAAGAGAATTTGATGA